ACACTGCTGAGGGGAGCAGCTGGCAGGTCAGGAGAGGTCTGCCACGCCATGTGGTCACCTCCGGGGCAGGCGGGAATTGAACTCATGCAGAAGTGACTTTAGCTTCTCAGTGCTGTGCTTTAACCCGCTGCACCACCAGGGAGGGCCCACTTCAATGACTTTTTAAAAAAAACTTGAGAAATAATTTATAAACCATGAAAGTCACCCTTTTAAATGATATAATTCCGAGTGTTTTGAAAATGGTGTTGCATATTCATAACACTGTGCAACCATCTCTACTACATCAATTTCAGAACATTTTCATCACCCTGAAGTGAACCTGTGTACCCACGGGCAGTCATTCCATCGCTTCTTTCTCAGCCCCTCTAGCTACTCATCTACCTTCTATAGATTTGCCTGTTCTGGATATACCATATAAGTGAAGTCACACTCTACTTGGATGCTTCTGACTGGGTTTTTTCACTTAGCATAAAGTTCTTAAGAATCATTCAGACGGTAATATTACCAGTACAACATTGCTTTTTGTGACTGAAAAAATAATCATTGTATGGATATAGCACATTTTACTTACACATTCATCCATTAATGGACACTGAGCTTGTTTCTACTCTTTTGCCATTTTGAATAACATTGCTATAAGCATGTGCAAGCTTTTATGTGAGTGGGTATTTCATTTCACTTGGGAATATATCTAAGAATGGAATTCCTGAGTCATATGATAGTTCTATGCTTAACTGTCATAAAACTACCAGATTTTTCCAAAACGGCTGCATCATTTTAGATTTTGGTCAGCAATGCATGAAGGTTATAATTTTTCTACAACCATGCCAATAATTTTTTGTGTGGTCATCTTTCAGTTTTAGCCATTTTAGTGGCTAAGTAACAACTTGTGGTTCTGATTTACAGGTCCCTGATGGCTCATGACAATGAACATCTAATGTGCTCATTAGACATTTGTTCTCTAAGTGTAATGCAGAGGTAGGCCAAAATGACCTAGTTAAACAGTATTTTCTCCAATCTATTTCTTTTATAAAGTATTTTTCTGATCTACCCCTTCCCTATCCTGTGCCCTGTCCTACTCCCCTAACCCTTTGTTTACCCAGGTTTAAGGATAGAAACCCCAGAGAGCATGGATAGGATTTTCTAGTGCCAAGAGACTTGAGCCACTTCCTCTGCCTAGAACATCTCAAATTCTAGAGAGTGAGTGTGGGTGGAATACCCTTGGGGGCTAACAGAGGACAGTGTCAAGCAGTCCCCTGAACAGCTCAGACTTAGTGCTTTATCCACCATACCCCAAAAGCAGTTTGTTTCAGCATGGTTGGTGGGGTAGGGCATCCCGTATTAGCAGGCCCTACTTTGAAGCAAATTCTAAGTTTGACCATTGGTCTTCCTAAGCCAGGAATTATATAGAGAACTATTCTGATTGTTGTAAGTCCTTCACAGACATGTTCCTCACCAAACCCATGAGGTCCTGGGCTACCCAACTCCTTGACAAAGAAGTTGGCTTTATGGTCAGTAAGAATCCCACAGAATGTGGTAATTTTATTCTTCTACCAATTAAAGAGACACAGACATCAGTATACACACAACTGAAACACACTGACACAGGACCATATAAGTGGCCACCTATCCAGATACAGAGAAGTGCCCATAGCTTTCAATCCAAACACTTACATCTAAATGTTCCAAGGTCACATCTTTGAGGAATCCACAATCTGGATGAAGTAGCTGACAGAGGACAGTGTCCGCACCCTTGCAGAACAACATCACTCGGTCTTCAGGTGTCCTTACTAAGGATAAACAAGTTAAGCAAAATAACCACACAGGCCCATTGTTATAAGACCATCTGGGTCACCAAGGGAGGCCCATTGTTATAAGACCATCTGGGTCACCGAGGGAAAATGGCATTTGCTTTTGATACCACTGTGGGGGAAGTGCTCAGTGAGTGGTCACATGGGGGAAATGGTATGGCAAGGACTGGTGGGACAGAGGACCTATGAGACCCAATTCTTCCATGCGCCTGATGTCACGCGTGGAAGACTCTGATGTAGAATCACATTTAACATCTCAACTCCAAATCTCAAATCTCAAGACCAAGGCCCATAACTAGTAAGGACCAAGGATGAAAAATGGCCTTTCTCCTCTTCAGTCTGAGATCCAAATGAATTGACAGCAAGATAGTATAAGTTTCTTCTTTATGATCTGTCCCCAACTTTTATTCCAAGTTCAGTTTTTATGGATTTATTGTCTATTTTTATGTTGGCTTTGAGGGTTCTGATGAGCGATTACCGAGGAAAGCTAAAGAAGTGCCCTAGCTTATGATACCAAGTCCCAGATGTACATGATATATAAAGAATATGTGATAGGAAAAAGTGGGAATGGCTGTGCGTGTTTGAGGCATAGTACCTGCAAGAAAGCATGCTTTTCATGTCTTGAGGACATGAAAGAGAAAACTGAATCATGAATATGCACAGATGACAAGTAAGGGGGTAGAACTGACCAAGAGGGGTACCCACCAATAACAGACATCCGCTTGCGCACACTGCTGAAGTCCAAAATAGCCAGCAGTTGGTAGACTTTGGTTTTCCCCCTTTTTACGACTGTGATAGTCTCAGATGTGCGGGCGCGGAATACAAAGCCAAAGTTCCTGGCAGCAGTGACGAGGGCACCTTCATCTGGGGACTGAGCCTGATATATTAGCTCACCTGGAAGGAGAGAAGAGGGCAGCTAGAGCCAACAGAGATGTGTGGCTAAAGTACACCCAGAGTGACACTGTTTTCCAAGTGCTGTGCAGAAAGATGGAGCCCATGTAGGGACACCTTCCTTCAAACTATCTCACCAGTCTGGCTCAAAAAGACCAGATTGAATAGGACAGATCGTTTTTTCCCTTTCAAATATTTTCAACTCATTTCACAGACCGGAGTTTGTAAGGTACACGCAATATATACAAACAAGTAAAACAAAGACAATCACCCTCCTACTTTAGTGGGTAAAGATGACTCACAGGTGCTTGTTAAATAGTCATATCCTGGTCTTACCAAAATTTAATGAATGCAGAATCACAAAATCTGGGAGGAAGGCCCAGGAAATTGAATTCAATGATAAGGGTCTCCTATATAAGACTGGTCACACATTGACAAACACTGCTATAGCACATTAAGATCAATGATTTAGAAAAACAATTAAGAAATAAATATAAATGAGTATTGTCACCTTAAAACTTTCACCTTGGAAAGCCAAATAATTCACTAGGCTGAATCTGATATTACTTAAGATATTTCTGAAGCTCTTTCTTTAGAATGCTGCTATAACCTAAAGTATATATTGGACTATTTCTCTTTCGAAGGTCTCTCTGATTTTTAAAATATTATGTATCATCAGAGTTATATTTGTGAATAAGGTAGGCAGGGTAGTATAATTTTAGGTCAGACATAAGGTGTATCTTTGGGACAATGAAACTATTTTCTAGTGTGTTTCCGGTCACTCAAGGCAGTAAATATGGACAAGTCCAAATATGCTTCAAATAATAGCAATTTTCTGGAATTTCAGGTCTCAAGAGGCCTGTGGTGGGGTAAGAGCACATGAAGCCAAAAGACATAGGATCTGGGTTCTAATTTCTGCCCTTCTCTTAGTTATAGAATCTTAGTTATGTAAGTCATTAGTCTCCTTTAGCTTCGACTTCCTTCTCTATAAAACTGGGATCAGTCTATGGCCATACCACCCTGAATGCGCCTGATCCTGTCATAAAACTGGGATCAGTTTTCTTGTTCTGCTTACCTCAGAGAGAGGTCGTGAAATTGTGGGAGATAATATGAATGAAAACAATTTGTCAAACTGTAAAGTGATATAAAAATATCAGGTGTTACTATTGGTAGTACTACATTAGGAGTAGATGGACTTTAAAGGTTGTGACTTGTTTGCCTGAATTCTTGCTTGTTAAGAAAAACAGCCATCTTAACAATCAGTCACTTCTTATTCGTTACTTACAAAGTAAGTTTGGATGGATTCAAGGATGACATCGTCATTTTTGATTACTAAATACATGAGGATTTGTGGGGATACCTTTAAATTTTAAAATGACAAAAGAATGACTCAACTATTCACGAAATCCTGAGAGGGCCTCCCTGGTGGCCTAGGGATTAAAAGTCAGTACTATCATAGCCATGGCCTGAGTTCAATCCCTGGCCGGGAGGTGGCTCATACAGCACAGCAGTCCTCTCCTGTCTCACCCGTGGCTCCCCTCAGCCATATACCTCAGTAGATCTACCTGTTATGCTCCCCACTCTGCCTCTGGTGAATCCTCTCACCCCCACCCCATACCTCTGGCCTGCTTCCAGTTCTTCTATGCAAAAAGAAAACAGTAATAATAAAAAAGAAGTCCTGCTGTCAATAGTTGGGCTGATCTTTGGGTCATCACAATTCGGGTGGACATCACAATTTCTAGGTCCGTAGTTTTCTAGGTAACACCAAAATTTGACCCCTGTCCAATCACTAAAACTTGTGTAAGGCCAAGAGGTTCTTTTCTACTTGAATATCTCCAGTGACTGGGAACTGACTACATATATTGATTATCCTTCCCACTACTAGACAATGTTCCTTGTTAGCAGGTTCCTTCCTGGAATAAGCCATTATAAATGATACCAAACCATCCTGATGTGGTCTCAGGCCTCTCCTCACCTTTCACTTTCTCTTCTAACATCACGGTATGACACAGTGAGAGTGAGAGGAAAAACAAGCACACCTGAGGATCTCCCCTTCTTACAGCTTCCACCAATGTGTTGTCATAAAATGAAAACTTAGGATCAGCCAGTTTGTTGTAGGAGAAGTCAACCTTTTGTGTTTCCTGAAACACAGAAGGTAGAACAAACATCTCAGCAGTGGCTTGATACTTTACAGGAGGTTAGGAATATTGAGTATGTCACAAATGCCAAACCTGTAACAAAAAAGGACTGACAGATTTGATCACATAAATTAAATTTTTCGACACAGAAAAAATTGTAAACAAGAGCCAAAGAACAAAAATAAGAAAAAGAATTTTAACACATATGCCAGACAGAATTATTACTTTTACTACATATTATTTTCAAACAAAAAGGGAAAATAATACAAATTGGCAGTTAACAACATAAGTGTAGGTGGGCAATATGGAGACTGAAAAGGTGAAAGAAAATAAGTACATAAACATTTATCCTGATTAGTAATCAAAGAATGGTATATCATACTTTCTGTAATTACAATTACATTTTAAAAGATTTTAAAACATTGTTAAAACAAATACTGACAAAGACAAGAAAAAGAGAATTCTTAATATTTTTATTGGGGTTATAAATTGATACAATCTACTTGGAGCGTGTGCAATATTACATGCATTTAAAATATATTTCAAAACTCTTCTGACTAAAAAGGAGGATGGGGGCATCATATGCCCAGACTTCAAACTATACTACAAAGCCATAATAAGAATAGTATGGTCCTGGAACAATACAGATACATAGGCAATGGAATAAAATAGAAAACCCAGAAATAAAGCCACAACATATATGGACAACTAACCCCTGACAAAGGGGCAAAGAATATGCAAGGAAACATGGATAGTCTGGTTCAATAAATGGTGCTGAGAAAACTAGACTACTATATGCAAAAGTATGAAACTAACTAGGTTATTACCTCACATTGTACACAAAACCAACTCAAAATGGATAAAAGACTTGAATGAAAGACCTAGAACCATAAAATATACAGCAGAAAATACAGGTAAAACATCCACAACATATACCTCAGAAACATTTTTGAGGGTTCATCTCCAGAAGCAAAGAAAATGAAGGAAATGATAAAAAGTTAGGACTATATCAAACAGAAAATCTTCTAGTCAGCAAAAGAGACATAACCAAAAACAAAGAGACACCCTACTAATATATTTGCATTCCACACAACTGTTAAGAGACTGATTTCAAAGATGTGCAAATAGCTCACATAACACAACAAAAACAAAACAAACAATCCAGCCAAAAGATGGGCAGACAAAAGTAGATGACTGGATTAAAAAGATGTGGTACATATACACTTCCATTGTGTATATGTACTTAGCAATCAAAAAATATAAACACATGCCTTTTGCGGCAACATGGATAGAGCTGAAAGGGATCATGCTTAGTGAAATCAGCCAGAAAGAAAAAGAAAAATACTGGATGGTTTCACTCATAGCAGAAACATAAAGGACCAGGGGGATAATAATAATAATAATAGTGAACAACTATATACCAGAGACATTTTATGGGGGTGGAGTGGGGAATGGTATCAAAAATGGTGGTGGGGGCAAAGTGCACTGGACTCTGGTAATGGCACATAGGTAATTTGGTGATGGGAAGCCCACGGGGATTACAACTGAGATGGAAAAAGGCACAAAATGATGTAAAAATAAACTATTTAAAAAAAAAAAGATGGGCAGAAGAGGTAAAAAGACACTTCTCCAAAAAGGAAATGCAAATGGCTAAGGGTATATAAAAAAAAAATGCTCAACATCACTTATAATCAGGGAAATGCAAATAAAAACCACAATGAGATACTGCATGAAATCATTGAGAATGGGCCATATTAAAAAAAAAAAAAACTAGCAACAACAAATGCTAGCAAGGGTGTGATGAAAAAGAAACCCTTTTACAATAGCTGGTGAGACAGCAAACCTGTCTAACAATAGCTGTGTGGAGGTTCCTCAAATTACTAAAAATGGAACTACCATATGACCCAGAAATTCACTCCTAAGAATCTACCCTAAGGACACAAAAACCAATTTTTAAAGGAAACCTGCATTCCTGTTTATTGCAGCACTATTTACAATAGCTAAGATACAGAACAACCTAAATACCCCAGACAGATGACTGTATCAAGATGATGTGGTATATATACGCTATGGAATATTATTCAGCAATCAAAAAAAAAACACCACCACCACCACCCACATGTCAGTTGCAGCAACATGAATATAGTTAGACGGGATTATGATCAATGGAATAAGTCAGAAGGAAAAAAATTCCTCCTGGAATACAGGGAAACCAAACAAGGGGTCAAAAAAAGAGAGACAAGGGCCCTCTCTGGTGGCGCAGCGGGTTAAAGCACAGCACTAAGAAGCTTAAGCCACTTCCACATGAGTTCGATCCCGCCTGCCCCGGAGGTGATCCACATGGCGCGGCAGACCTCTCCTGACCCGCCCGCTGCTCCCCTCAGCAATGTACTTCGTGGATCTGCCTATTCTGTACCCCACTCTGTCCCTGGTGAATCCTCTCACCCTCCACATCTTTGGCTGTACCCCAGTTGTGTATGAAAAAATAAATAAATCTTAAAAAAAAAAAAGACAAATGTCACAGGCAAACTATAAATCTGAGACATACAGCAGGGATTGGGGGGAGAGTGGGTCAAAACTGGAGGGAAGAGCACAAGAGACTATGGTGACAATTCGTGGGTGATGTGGTGGTGGGAATTTTATAGGGATAATACCTGAGGGAAGAAATAAAACACTGTACAACAATAAGCAATGATGTAAAAATTAAAAGTAAAATAAAATGTAGCTATCCTTTCACCAACCAATCCCACTTCTAGGAGTTTATTCTAAGGGAAAAATGAGAAGAAAGGAAAGAGTGTAGGTCTTCCACAATGCTATGTATAACAGCAAAAGAAAATAGAACAACAACAAAAAGAGAATAGAGGGTCAGTTAAATAAATTAAGATACATCAGTACAACTGGTTATGACAAAATGATGATGTAGACCTAACTTTACTGACATGGAAAGATTACCATAATATAGTGTCGAGTGAATAAAAAAAATGAAAATAGCATTTATGTGATGATGCTTTTGTCTGTCTTTCTATTTTCTACCTACCTACCTACTTACTTGCCTATCACTAGATCCAAATGCAAGTATATAAATATGAAGAGCATCTGAGAGGATATAACTTTATATTGGTTATCTAAAAGGATTGAATGATTTGATTTTTTTTAACAGTGAGCATAGATTCTTTTATAAACAGAAAAAAACAATAAAGCCATTTTCATTTAAAAATGCAAACCCAAATCTCCAAAAGTAAAAGCAGAGGTCATTTTTAAAATGCTTTCTTATATTATGGAGCTGACTTTAACATTCAGGGGCTAAGGGCTCCCACTCGTGTTAACCATGCTGCTGAGCAGCATAGCCTCACTTAGCTCCCTCAGGCATTTCACAGGTATCTTTAGCCACTCACAGCAGAAATTTCGACCTTCAGTCCATTCTTGTCAAAGACATTACCTGTTGGTAAGGAAGGGTTTAAAGGAAGGGTTAATTTTTTGTGGTAAAGTATATAAAATAAAATTTGTCATTACAACAACTTTATTCTACACTTTAATGGCATTAACTACAATGACAATGTTGTACAATAATCATCATAATAGATTTCAAAACTTTTCAGCATCCTAAGCAGAAGTGCCCCAATCTGTATTTCCAGCTTTTGGCAACTCTTTAACTTTCTTTCTGTCTATGAATTCGCTTATTCTAAATATTTCATGTGAGTAGCACACAACATTTCCTTTGATGTCTAGCTTATTTTACTTAGCATGTTTTCAAGATTCATCCATAATATAGAATGTGTCAGAACTTCATTACTGTTTTAAGCTGGATATACCAGTTTGTTTAGTCATTCAGCTGCTGATGCACATGTTTTGTTTCTACCTTTGGGCTTTCATGCTGTATCCATCCATCTATCTCAATACTGGCATATATCTATCTCTCAAAGAGCTATTTCTTCTGACTCTATATTCCTAGATTTGCCGTCAAACTGCCTCAAATCTCCTCAGGCTCACCCAAACATTAGTGCCCCCATATGCTCTTATCTCCGAGCCAATACTAAGAAGGTTATCCTCTCCCTTAAAAGTGAGGTGTTAGTCCTCACACCAGTGAGAATGGCATATCTTAAAATAACCAGCAACAACAAATGTTGGCGAGGGTGTGGAGAAAAAGCAACTCTCCTGCACTGCTGGTGGGAATGCAAACAAGTATAACCACTATGGAAAACTGTTTGGAGGTTTCTCAAACTGCTAAACATGGAGTTTCCATATGATCTAGCAATCCCACTCCTAGTTATCTACCCAAAAGACGCAAAAACACTGATTCAAAAAGACACCTGCACCCCCATGTTTATTGCTGCATTATTTATAACAGGAAAGACATGGAATAAATCCAAATGCCCAAAAGTAGATGACTGGATTAAAAAGATGTGGTACATATATACAATAGAATATTACTCAGCAATCAAAAATATAAACACATGCCTTTTGCAGCAACATGGATGGAACTGAAAGGGATCATGTTTAGTGAAATAAGCTAGAAAAAAAAAGAAAAATACTGAATGGTTTCACGCATAGCAGAAACATAAAGGACCAGGGGATAAAATAATAATAATAACGAACAAGAACAACTATATACATTTTATGGGGGTGGAGTGGGAATGGGATCAAAAACGGGAGGGAGGGGAGAAGTGCCCTGGACTATGATGATGGCACATGGGTGATTTGATGATGGGAAGCCCACAAGGATTACAACTGAGATGGAAAAACGCACAAAGTGATGTAAACATAAAATATTATATAAATTAAAAAAAAACTATTAAAAAAAAAGTGAGGTGTTAGTGTTAGTAGTCACTGGGCCTTGGAGAGACTCTGTACCTCAGCAAGTCCTGCAATAAAAGAAGTTACCGAGTAGAGATGTGAAAACAGATATAGAATGTTTAGAATTCTTGGCAAGTAAACAGTACAGACAGAATGGGGGGTGGAAGACAGTTTGATGTCAAGGAAAGAAACCTATGATCCTTTCACTCTTACATAGTATATGGTCAGGTCTTACACTGAGCTAGAGAATTAAGATCCTCACCAATTGAACTCATGCAAAAATAAAATTTTAGAGTTTATACATGAAAACTTGTTTGCTGGGGTAGTAGGAAATACTCAAGTGCTCTAGTGTGACATTCAAATAACCTACAATTTACCATTTTAAAGTATACAGTATTTAGTGCATTCACAATTTTGTGCAATTATCACTTCTTCAAAGTTTTTTCATCATCCCCAAAGGAGGTCACACATGCTCTCGCTTTTTAGATGAAATCACTTTCTACTAGTTAGCACCCTGGGGATAGATGTTCATACATTTGAGAACTTAACACTATCACAAAGATAGGTTTATTGTTAAGGCATGAAATAAATGAGAAATTGAATGTGGGAGATATTAATCAATCTTGACTACTCTTCGATGGCTTCTCTTAAGAGTTTATGGGTTTGGGAATAAGCAGTTTTAGTGTATGCTGGTTGCTACATCGGTTTAATATGGGTGAATTGTTTCTAAGACACTGGGAATTCTCTAAGCACAGAGATTAAGTCTTGCACAGTGGTATTTCCAGTGTCTAATATGAAGAATTGCATCTACAAGGTGCTAAATCAATGTTTTTTGGTTAGAATTCAATAGGCTAGGTGCTCTTTGATAGGGAATAAAGAAGGATGTGAAAATAAGAGGTAAGTATGAAACAAAGTTCTATAGATTTAAAGCTATTATTGAAAATAATCTGCAAAGTAGAATTTTCCCAGGACTCAGGAAAAGCAGGAATCCATGCATACCATAGGATATCCCATTAATGGAACACTTGTGGAAAAGCATGATGTTCTGAGTTAGGGTTCCTGTTTTGTCGGAGAATACGTATTTGACTTGGCCAAGTGCTTCATTAAGGGTCGTGGTGCGAGCTTGTGCTGGAATGTTCTTTAGTTCATGAAACATCTTCTGATCCCAGTTGATATAGTAGCTGTTGCCCAATCTTATTATCTCAATACTAAGGAGAAAACAAGAAAAGAAAGGTCCTGGGTCAGAGCCTGACCAACAGATGTATCATCCTAGTTTCCACCTTACCAGTCCTGTGCTAAGTCAGGGCCAGTATCTCCCTTGGGAACCTCTGAATTTGGAGAATCCTTTTCACTAGCCACCTATTGTAATCCTGAATTTGACCATTATCACTCCAAGCTTTACCAATGGGATCCAGACATACCAAGTTTTCTAAGGCATATCCCCCTTTCATTCTTTCCTTTTTTAAAATATAAGTCACGGCCCTCCCTGGTGGCGCAGCGGGTTAAAGCACAGCACTGAGAATCTGAAGCCACTTCCGCATGAGTTCGATTCCCGCCTGCCGCCTGCCCCGGAGGAGACCACATGGCGAGCCAGACCTCTCCTGACCCGCCCGCTGCTCCCCTCAGCAGTGTACTTCGTCAATCTGCCTGTTCTGCTCCCCACTCTGTCTCTGGTGAAGCCTCTCACCGTCCCTGAGCCTCTGGCCTGTACCCCAGTTCTGTATGAATAAATAAATAAATCTTTAAAAAAAATATATAAGTCACACATTTTGAACTTCTGTAGTAATGCAGGGCCTGACAGGGTGGAGAGCTAACTTACATTGATAAAAGGCTGCCTCAGTTTAATAAGATGATTATTGCTGCTGTCATGATAATCTATTGGCAGAGAAGAGTGAGAAACCTGAAACTCTCAGAGCTTCTTTGAGAAGAAAAAGGGAAGGAGCTATGAAAATCAGAAACAGTTTACAGAAGTTGGCCCTCTGATAAATTTTTCAGGAAGAATCAGCCTATCTGTAGGGTAGCTTTTCTCACCAACAGCCTCTTTGTTTTATCTGGATGTTCCCTCTTGTCTTTGCCACAGTCCTCTTGTACCACAAATACCATATATTATAGTTTTATTTTTAAGGGACAAGTGCTGAGTTTATTATTTGTTCATGTCTTGCATTTGAACTATTCCTCGCTGACATCCTTGCCTAAAAGTCTCCTTGCCATAGATTTAACAATCATACAACTGCAATGACCCACTTTATGGGTTTTCCCCTCTGCTGACTTTACAGAGGCCTACCCATTTCTCCAGTTTCTTGTTGCCATCAACTTTAACAGAGCTGATGTGTTCAGCACAAAGGTATTCTGCCAATTTGACATACATCACAGTTGGATACAATGACATAAAGATGGGCTTGGTGCTTGTCTAAGGCTTCGGAAGTTTTGCAAATTCCATGTGCTAAGTCATGGTCAATGAGCATGTTCTTCAGCATCTTTTGCATGGCAGTATTTTTAAAAAAGATTTATGCATACAGGATTTATTTATGCATACAGGAGTGAGGTACAGGCCAGAGGTACAGGGGGTGGTGAGAGGATTCACCAGAGACAGAGTGGGGAGCAGAACAGGTTGACAATGTACACTGCTGATGGGAGCAGCTGGGGAGATAGCAGAGGTCTGCTGCCCCATGTGGGTCATCTTCCTGGCTGGGGATTGAATTCCTGCTGAAGCAGTTGTGTCTAGCTTCATAGTGCTGTATTTTAACTGGTTCTGCCACCAAGGAGGGCCCACATGACAGTATTAATGCCACTATTACTCAAAGCTTTACCATTACTCAAAACAGCAATACTTTCTTCAGTCATGGCAGTGGGTTACAGGTAGAGTGGAATCTTGAATATCCTTCAACCTCCACCCCTGTGCCCCTCGGCAATGGCAAGGAAATCTATAATACATTTCTTTATAGATTCTTTATAGTTAACAAGCATCTTCATTTTAAAGCAGTGAAGACCCTTAAGTGACCTCCTCCCTGACCATCATTCATACATGGTAGGTGCTAGCTCTGATGACTTCAGTAGGAATCCCTGTCTGAGGCAGTTCCACTGAGCAATGTGGAGTCTGTTTGAGATGAGGGAGCAAGGGTAGTCAGACCCACTGTTGACTCTACTGGTCCACACGTGCTAAATCTTGACCACCACAGCAATCTTTTAAAACTGAAACATTTAACTGCATTGTTTCTTTAGTTAGATCTTTGCTGGTTTTATGAATAAATTCAAACTCTTAAGCTTGGCATTTAAGGTTCTCCTGGACCTGATCCTAAATTACCACCCAACACCTTAGTCTAGTTACTCACTTTTCTATGACCACATCAAGCTTTCTAAAATCCTTTAAACCTTTGTTCGTGATTTGTTTCCTATTTTATGCTTGGTGGATTTTATTCCTTTTTTCAAGTATCAGTTTATTTCCTTTTTTTGTAAACTACAAAGCTTCTCCAGAGAGAACTAATCTATTTCTTTCCCCATGGCACTCATATGTATATTTCTATAATATCATTTTTCATATTGTACTATAATTATTTAGTTATCTATTTTCATTGTTATGTTGTCAGTTTAATCTAGAGAAGGGCTGTGTTATTATTCATGTTTCCATCTCTAGCCCCTAATGTAGTGTTTGTTACATGGTAGGTGTTGAATAAATATACTTTCAATTAATAAGGAGTTTTAGTTATATAAGATGCTTTTACAGTGAAGACACCACAGTGCAGGGTTTAGGAAATCTAGAAAGAAGACTGTGAAAATGTTTGGGTGTGCAGATGTGAAAGGGAATATTGAGTCCAAAAGGAGTGTACAGTAGGTGTACAATAAAGACTAGTTTTACCTATTTCAATTTTTTGCTCAAGTTGCTTATGTAAAGTGGGAGTCATTATCCTCCTTCTCTTCTCCAAATCTGAGGGACCAGGACTTAGGAAACTTGTTTGTCACATTTTTAAAAAAAAAATATTTATTTATGCATACAGAACTAGGGTACAGACCAGAGGTATGGGGGTGAGGATTCAGCAGAGACAGAGTGGGGAGCAGAACAGGTGGATCCACTGAAATACACTACTGAGGGGAGCAGTGGGTGAGTCAGAAGAGGTCTGCCATGCCATGTGTCACATTATTTTTATGGGAAAACACATTCGGAGTTCTGAGGAACTGATTTACAAGTGAATGCTTGGAACCTATCCCACTGATAAACTAGAAGCTGTCTCACTTGGTTTTGGCATTACCAAGTTTGTGTGTATTTTTTTTTAAACTAATTCATGTGTTTGTATGTCTCATTTAGTCATCTGTAATATACTCTATTTGAGGGCAGGGACAAATCTGTGATCTGTTTGCATAACCCACATGGTATCTAGCACAGCATTCCAGATACAGAAAGCATGTATGTTATCTTTAGATACTTCTCCATGTGTTTTGTACATTAGAGCCTCTTGAAGTAAAAGGTTGAGGGCACACACTCTATGCTTTCTGAAATTTCACACTCTAGTAGGGGAATTAAGCAATAAGAAGTCAGCTCCCCCCCCCCTGTACCCCAAGGTGATCAAAGAAGCCTACCTGACATAGAGAGAAATGGGAACCATGGTGTTGAGAATAATGAAGTAGGACCAGAACAAGAGGCTGGCAGACCCAAATGATGAAATGACATATTCTTTCCAGGGCAAGTAAGTCTGGAAGTAGTAGCCTTTTTGGTTCTGCCAAATGCCATGCCCGATTGCTAGGATAAAACACATGCTGCCTAGGATCAGGAAAATCTAGAAGTAAAAAAAAGAGAATTAAATTAACATTTTCTCCATGACATGTGCTGCTTTAGTCCTACCTCTTGGAGTCTCATCTCTCAAGAAACGCTTCTGTCCCTTCCAGGAGAGCAGAGGGGCCCTGAAGTTCATAGGCTCTAGGAGGCAGCACCAGGACAGAAGATGGCCTAGTAGGAGCCACCCTTGGGGTTTGGATTGGAGAAAATAGTACTAAAATAAAATGTATACTCATTAAGTGCCAGGAACTACATAAATACTTTATAACACCTCTCTTTTAATAATAGGAGAGGAATTTGATAATAAGAATGTGTAACAGGGTGGTCCCCAGGAAAAGGGGAGGTCCCAAGTTCCCTGCCCCACCCAAAGGAGGGTGGAGCTGAACAGTGAGGACAATCTGGAGAGGAGACAGATGAAGAAGAAGCAGGAGAGTCAGGAGACCCAGAGGAAGCACATGGGGCAGAGAGACATGTGAAGAAGTAGCTTTTGTTTCTTGGTCCTGGGCTGGATGAAACAGATGTGGGTGAAGACCCATGCAGAGGCTGATTATGGCAGCTTTTATCTTGATTTTGATTTTTTTCTTTTCCTTCCAGACTTGTCTGGTCATGTCTGACCCTTTTCTATGGGTCCTGGCCAGAAGGTGCTTTAGACTTGTGCTGGGCTTTCAGGCCTTGCTTTGCACCAAACCCGTTTGGGTGGACTTTTACCCATGAGAGGATGGGTATCTTCAGCTGTTCGATTTAAAAACTATATATTTTTTTGTTTTTTTCTGTATTGCACACTAATTGTATTGAAGTTCCTCTCCATTAAAGGTCTTAATATGTCTAGTCTTAATGTGGTGGTTGGCAGAACCTATTTAGAGTGAGCAGGGTTCTGGGGTGCCCATCTCCCTCCCCTGTAACAGATGGAGAGAATATTTTACCTAAAATCATTTGACTAGAAGATAGGTTTTTGTTTTGTTTGCTTGCTCATTTTTCTTTGCATTTATTTCTCCTCCCTTATTTATTAATTTGCCAGTTATTTACATAACTGTTTTGCAGGGAGGGGGGTGGTGGAAGGGTGGGTGGTACATTTTCATACTGCAATATGCACACATGCTTCACTCATCTTCCACCAAAACTCCTATGCAAATGTCCTTCCTCTGCCTTCCCCTATCTTTTCCAGGAGGGATTTTGTTTTTGTTTTTGTTTTTGTTTCAGTTTTTAAAAATTTATTTATTTATGCATACAAGTACTGGGGTACAGGCCAGGGGTGGGGGGTGGTGGCAAAAGGATTCAGCAGAGAAAGAGCAGAACAGGCAGATTGATTGAAATATACTGTTGAGGGGAGCAGTGGGTGAGACAGAAGAGGTCTGCCTCGACAGGGGGTCACCTCCCTGGTTGGGATCTTAACTAGTGCTGCAGTAGCTGCAGATAGCTTCACAGTGCTGCAATTTGACCCCTTGTGTCCCTGGGGAGGCCCCTCTAGGAGGAACGGTTTAAACCAGTTCCAGAGTCCAAACTCTTAAACACTCCATTATAAGTGCTATTTTAACAAGTCCAAAATGTGTGGCATTGACTTAGGAGTAGGTGGATGGGTGGTAAGAAAAATGATATTAGAACTTGAAAATATGGCTACTAAGTTAATTAGGAGTCAGGTAAAGCTGGAAGGCAGACAATATGCCTTCTGAGCCTATAGCTTTAGGAGAAGTGACCTCTAATTCAGAAAGAATTAGAATACAAATGTATGCTGGCTGTCTCTGACAAGGCATTAAAAGAGAGTTGAAGTAAGGAAACTGGCCACTTTAGGAATAGAAATAAAGAATAGAGAGAAATTTGGGTCATCCAAGGTCTGGAAATCTTGTTATCTTTTAGATTTCAAAGAGGAAGAGACAAAATTGATGTTTTAAGCAAAAAAAAAAAAAAAAAAAAAACCCTCAATAATCCCTTCCAACTAAAAAACTCAATAATCCCTTCCAACTAAATAAAGTAAATGAACTTGGAGACTTGGAGACAAAGTTCAGATTAAAGATGTTTTCACCCAAGGTTATTCTAGATAACCTGAACCTTTTTGCCATTTAAATTGAGAAAAGGGCATAGAGGGATGAGAAAGCAAAGAAACAAAAACACATTTGAGTGTTGAGTGTGACCATATATGGACAATAACACAATGGCTACCTGTGTGACCTTATAAGGGCAAACAGCACAATGACCAGGACTGGGCCTTGCGTCCAGGTGTAAAGCACCACATCAGCTTTAAAAAACTGAACCTAAAGCCTATATAAGAGACACTTTCCCCTACAGCACTAGCAGTAGCTGCAGACCCCACCCTCGGAGCTCTGTCTCAGCTGCTGCCTGGGAGCACTAAACTACTTGTTCAGCCTTTCTGTCTCCTGACTTTCTTCCTTGCAGCTGGACACAGAAATCAGGACAAAACATTGAAATGTTTAGTGGCATCATTGCTAATTTAACAACTATGCCACCATTCTTCCATAGGCAGACAGGGTGGGGAGGCTTAAATGGATAAAGGGAGTAAATGGGACTGCCCTGGAAAACTTGGGCCATTAAATTGATGATCCCTTTATCTGATGATTCCATTCATCAGTTGGGACCCACTGGAGACTAGCCACCCTAACCAAACAAATGGATATAAATAGAGCCTTGGGGGCCACATTCAGGGGAGCAGACCACCCCTGCCTTGCAGCTGCTTCCCCAGCAGTATATTTCACTAAGCCTGTCTCTTCTGTTCTCCACTCTCTCTGGTGAATTCTTTCACCCCCTTGCCTCCGGCCTATACCCAATTCACCCAGATATTTAGAAAAGAACTTTGAGGGAGAAGGGATAATAACACTACCAAATTCATTTTACAAGAACAGCATTATTTAATATAGAAGCCAGAAAAGGGCACGATAAGGAAAGAAAATTATAGGCCAATACCCCTGATGAATACAGAAACAAGACTTTTCAACAAAACACAGTATTTCTTCCCCTGTCCATGGTTATCTGTGGCCTGAAAATCTTATGTACAATAAGATATTTTGAGAGACAGTGTGAGTCACCATACTCACATAATTATTATGTTATAATTTTTCTATTTTATTTCTCATTATTAAGCTCTTACTGTGCCTAATTTACAAATTAAATTACCATAGGTATTTTGTATCGCAAAAAACATAGCATATATAGGATTTGGTTCTATTCACAGTTTTAGGCATCCACTGGGGTTCTTAGAATATAACCCCTTCAGATAAGGGTAAACTACAGTACTAATAAACTGAATTTAACAGCATATTAAAGGATCATACAAAAGGGCATGTGGGATTGAGACATTGAATGAAATTGAAAAATGCACAATTAAATGTAAATTGATCCTATGTTCAAGAATAGGAAGAACTAACATTGTTAAAATATCTATAGTATTCAAAGTCATTTATAGATATAATGCAATGTCTTTTAAGGATTCCAATTAAATGGGGAAATTCTAAAATTTGTACAAAACCATAAAAGATCTCCAAATAAAGCAATCCTGAGAAAGGACAAAGATGAATTTATTACATTTCCTTATTTCAAAATATATTACAACACTATAATAATCAAACAGTATGGTGCTGACAGCAAAACATACACAAACAGAACAGACTTGAGAGCCCAGATATAAAACCATGAGTATATGTCAACTAATATATGACAAAGAAAGAAAGAGTATTCATTGGAAAAAGAGATAGTTTCTTCTAATATATGACAAAGAAAGAAAGAGTATTCATTGGAAAAAGAGATAGTTTCTTCTAATATATGACAAAGAAAGGAAGAGTATTCATTGGAAAAAGAGATAGTTTCTTCAATGGGTTGAAAAAGTTGCAACATGCAAAAGAATGAAACAAAACCTCTCAAAAACTCAAAAGGGACTGTAAACTTAAATGTAAAACCTAAAACTATGAAAATTTTAGAAGAAAACAAATAAAAAGCTCCTTGACATCCATCTTGGTAATGACTTTATGGGTAAGAAAACCAAAACACCCAGAACAAAAGTAAAAAAAATTAAGTTAAAAAAATCTTCTGCAAGGTAAAAGAAACTATCAGAGGTAACAAGTTGAAAAAGTAACCTATTTAATGGGAGAAGATACTTTCAAGTCAAACAACCAAGAAAGGGTTAATAATCAAAGTATATAAGGAACTCAATAACTCAATAGCAAAAAAACTAAATAATATGACTAAAACAATTTGCAAAGGACCTGAATAGACACTTTTCCCAAGAAGATATTAAAATGGCTAGCAGGTATATGAAAAGATACTCATCATCATCAATCATAAGGGAAATGCAAGTCAGCCCCACAGTGAAACACCAGGGCATATCTGTTAGAACACTATTATCAAAAGACAAGAAAGAAATATAATAAAGAATGCAATGTTAATGTGAATTGGAGCAATTACTATGAAAAAAGAGCATTGAATTTCCTGAGAAAATTAAAAATAAAACTACCATATGATCCAGAAATTTTCCTTTATCCAAAGGAAATCAATATCTTTAAGCGATATCTACATCCCTATCATAGCATTACTTAAAATAGCCATGAAAAAATGTACCTATCAACAGAACAATGGATAAGGAGAAAAGTAATACACATATATAAATCATATAGTTGATATATGTATATGTATACACAAACATATATATCTAGTGGAATATTATTCATTCAGCAAAAGGAAATTCTGCCACTTGTGATAACATGAATGAACTTTGAGGGTATTGTGCTAAATGAAGTAAATCAAAGAAATACAATTCTTATATGTGGAATCTAAAAAATACCAAACTTATAAAAATAGCAAATGGGTGGTTATCAGAGCAGAAGGGTGAAATGGAATGGGTAAAAGTTGTCAAAGGGTAGAAACTTCTAGTTATAAATGAATAAGCTTTGGTGATGTAATGTATAGCATGGTGATTATAGTTAACAATCCCACACTGTATATTTGAAAATTGCTAAGAGAGTAGATTCTGAAAGTTCTTACCACACATTTAAAAAAACATTGTAAATCTGTGAAGTGATAGATATGTTAATGAACCTCTGTGGTAATCATTTTGCAATATATGCACATATGAAATTATTATGTGGTATATCTTAAACTTATACAATGTTATATGTGCATTATATATTAAGAAAGCTTAGAAAAAAGAAAATGAAAAAAAGAATTTCATTAAATGCAATCAAATAGTATATACTCTTTTTGTCTGTTTCATTATTGAACATAACTATTTTGGGAATTATCCACATTTTGCATCTAACAATATTTCTTTTCATTGCTGAGTAATATTCTATTGTATGGATACCACACAATTTGTTTACTAACTCATCTTCTGTTGGATAATTGAATTGTTTACAGTTTTTGCAAATTACAAACAAAATGGCATTGAATATTTAGTGTACAAGACTTTGCATTCCTTTGTAAATATCTAGGAATAGAACTGTGGAAATCTATGTAAGTTATTTTTATTTTTAACTTTTTAAGAAATTGTCAAATATTTCCCAATATTTGGTTATAATAAATTGCTATATAATTTTATAACACAGCAATGCCTGTAGAGAAGACAGTGTGATGAAATTAAGAGCAGCAGCATTAACAAGCCTCATGCTGTGACAGAGGTAATTTTCCTTTCTGTTGGCTCATTCTGAGCAGAAAGATCTGGTTTTGGAGGACTTCTGGTCTAAGAGTAGAGGCATGTTACTGGAAACCAAGGGTAATTCTCAGTTATCCAAGCAATAGGGATGGAACAAGGGTGTTGAAGGTCACCTTGTACTGTGAGCCACCTCTAACACTCCTTAATTGTCTTCAAAACTGTACCCAAAAAGTATAACTAGCTCAAAGCAATCTATCCCCACTCAGATGTGGGGGGTGGGTGGTGGATGGCTGAAGGGCTCATCTTTAAGTCACTGGTGCGAAAGTCTTTGAAGACAAGAGTAGAAAGGCAGAAGAAGCAGTTCTAACTGAGACCATTTTCAAAAAATGAGATTAAAAAAACCTTTTATTGTTATGAAATATGATGAAAATTTCCAAACACATATTAAAGTATATAAGCAGTACAATGAGCCCCTACATACCTTCACATAGCTTCAACAATTAGCAATTTAGGGCCAGTCTTGTTTTAGTCAAAAATCCTTTTTCCTTTCGTTCAAACAAATTTCTCACACTATATAATTTTATCTGTAACAGTTTAACATATAGCTTTAAAAGACTTTACTTTAAAATGTGACCACCATATCTCTATCACTTAAAAAATTAACAGGAAGTCCTTACTATCACTCAATATTTGAGACTTGAGAATTAGGTGAAAGATGGGAAGAACAAAATAAAAGAGAACTGAGATTAAAACAGAACAAAATTGGTTTTATTCTTAGCCTAATGCAGAATATATTGAGTAGCTCAGTTCTTTGTGATGAAGCTGTGTGATTTACTTCCTCTTCAATGATTAATGTGAAAGAAAAGCTACCCTCATGGTTCAGAACCTCAGTGATGAGTTCAACTGATCTCATAGCCTTTTTCTTTGATACTAAATATTAAATATTAAATTTAAGACATTTTCTACATGCCACTTCTCCAGCCTACTTCAACAGTTCCAGTGGGAAAAAGTGGGAAAGTTAAAATGATTTGAATAAGTTATCACTATTATTTACTTATTAACTTGTTAACTTATTAACTTATAATAAATGAATATTAACTTAGAATTTGTAATGTTATTACAGTAACTAATTTTAAACTCTCAAAGACTGTGGGAAAAAATTACAGGGTGACCTTCAATACCAATGTCCCATCCCTATTGCCTGGATAACTGTGAATTACCCATGGTTTTCAGTGACGTTTTTCCAATGTTCGACCAGGAATCCTCCGGAAACAGATCTTTGCTCAGAATGAGCCACCAGAAAGGAAAATTACCTCTATTATGGCATGAGGCTTGCTTATTTCTAGAGCTTTTCCTCCACCTAAGGCTTTCTAAACTCTTGTGGATGCTCTATGCTTATTCCGTGGCAGTGTTTATTGGTACTTCTTTACTTCCTTTTTGCAAAGAAGAAAGTACCAAGAAATTGGTTATTGCTATAAACCCAAGATGGTTTCATTACAATCAGCTGCAGAACAGCATCCAGCCTCCCACTTAGCAAAAGGTGCTTTCAGTAAAGGTGGAAAGAGATACTCAAGGTCTTCTCTGTCAAAGTGGAGCTCCTAGGTATCACAGGCAGCCTATAAAGAGAAAGTACTCTGGCCCTTTGGACCTTCATGTCTGGGCTTTTCATTGTGTCTTCTCCAAAAATACATCTGAGGTTTCTGTTATCATTTCAATTTCAACCAGTCTGCTTCTTTGCTCGGCAAATAAACTCCTATTTAACAGACAGCATTCAGAAAGCATTATCACTGTGAGTTCTGGTCACTAGAAAGAATGATGAGATTAAACTGCCATTGAGTTGTGGGTGCATCAGGAAGCAGCTTTATAAAGCATACTTCCTGTGTTTGCCAGATTTCCCCCTAAGAAACATTTCCAAAAATGGGAAAAAAATGAAATGTTTAAATTAGGAAGAGTTTCTGCTGCAAGAAATGAGAGTGCATCGTCTCTGACGACATTTACAAATGTCCTGACAAAAAGATGGCATAAACAACTGTTGAGCTGATACAACAAACCTAGCTAGTTCAAGGATACTTCTCCATTTAGCAACTATTCAAGAACTACTCCGGAGCATTACTTTGTTCAAGGTACTCCCAAGAATATAGAGATCAATGTGCCTTACAGGGTCATAATTTGGTAGCTTAGCTATTCAACCACTTTTTTCATTCATTCAGCAAATAATACTGAGGTTCCTATTACATGTCAGACATAGTTGTGGAGGTGGGGATACCATGGTGAAAAAAGACAGTATCCTTACTCTTGGAGCGTTTACAATCCTTTGGTTCTAGGTAGATAAAAAAATTAGTTACAAAATGGAAAAAATACAATTGAATCAGTGCAACGTGCTGTGAGGAATATAAAGCAGATTCATAGACTAAAGAAGGTCTTGGTTGGGGTGACTGCATTCAACTAGTGATAAAGGAGGCCTGTCTGAAAAGATGCCAATGAGTGAATCATGAGAAAGAAGCAAGTCTTGCAAAGACCTGGGGCAGAAACTGCCAGCAAGGAGAAAGGTTCTAAGACACCACCAAATTTGCTTTCTCACTTGTTTGGTAGTTCCCCTGCTTATAGGTTTTTCAGTTCAAAACAGTTTTCACTGAAAAATGCCAAACTATGAACCCAGTGGTTCCTATTTTTTTTTTTTAAGATTTATTTATTTATGCATACAGAACTGGGGTACAGGCCAGGGCAGTGAGAGGATTCGCCAGAGACAGAGGGAGGAGCAGAACAGGCTGACTGGTGAAGTAACTGCTGAGGGGAGCAGTGGGCGGGTCAGGAGAGGTCTGCTGTGCCATGTGGATCACCTCTGGGGTGGGTGGGGATTGAACTCATGCTGAAGTGATTTTAGCTTCTTAGTGCTGTGCTTTAACCTGCTGCGCCACCAGGGAGGACTGGGTTCCTATTTTTTTTTTCTTTTAAGAGTATGTTTACTAGAAAGAACAGGAGAGGACAAGTGGGCAGAAAGAGCCACTGAGCCCAGTGGTTTCTAAGTCCCAGAAGTACTGCTGAGAAATCTGATGCCAATTTAAAGCTCATTTGTTGTTGTTGTTGTTGGTATCACATTCTTATCTCTATGAAAAACTTGAGTAATTTTTTAATACCCTCTGAGCATTAAAATTTTATGATACTTAATATGAAACTCATAGCCTTCTTTAATTTTAGAAAATATTCTATTAATTTTCTGATGGTGTTGCTCTTTCCAGTTTTTCTTTCTGATATTCCTGGGAGATGAATTTGGGGGCTGCTGATTTGGTCCTCCATCAGAAGAGTATTTATCATAAACTCATGCTATTTGCAGCAATATGGATGTAGCTGAGTGAAACAGGTCAGAAGGAAAAAGATAAATAATGGATGGTTTCCCTTATATGTAGAATATAAGGAAACTGACCAAAGGATTAGGGAAAAGACAAAACTCAGGAGCTGACCACAGGTCTGAGCACACAATCATGGTATTACTAATCAAAGCATCAAATTTTAAACAAATTGTGTCTGTCCTCCACAACACAGGTGTAAACTAGACTCCCTTGTCAATGGGTTCTACTCTTTCCTAATTTAGACATTAGGATATGGGACCCTAAAACTGCTTGAAACTTTAAACAATTAAATTCCAAGTTGGAAATGCCAGGTACTTTGTGGAAGACAGGGAAGTATGCCTTTTTGTGAAGAAACAGAAAAAAAAAATCTTTAACTTACCCAGATCACAAGGATATTCATGAGATGGTCTATTTGTGTCTGTTTAAAGGTGTACGTTCCACTATTCTGCATTAATTTGGTGTCTGGACCTAAATGAAACAGGGAGACATCAGCTCTTAGAAACAATGAATATACTGAGAGATTTTAGATTGGGTTGAAATGTACCTTTATGACACCTAATGAAACCTCTCTCTAGTGCCAAGGGGATAAAGCCTGGAGAAAAGGTTCACAATTAGTACCACTAACTCAAGGAATGAAGTGTGTTTCTCACAACAAGAATAAATCTTAGACTCTGTGGAAAACACACTAGTGACCAAAGGGATCAGAGGGTGGGTGAGGGGTAGGGGAGGACAGTGATAGGACTTTGGTGGAGGATGAGTGAAGCACAGGTGCACATATTCCCAAAATTATACAGTTATGAAATGATTAGCAAGTCAACAAAATTTGAGGAGAAACTGTTTCTAAGGATAAACTACTTCTATAAAGTACACCAATGCAGACTCCCATTTTTAGCGCCTTAGTGTCTAGTTTTTTACAGATGAGTTAAGTAAAAATAGGAGTCACATGCCTCTCTCATCACCATCTGATTAACTTAGGGAAGGGGTTTTATGAAAAAGAGACCTCTATCTTCTTTTGAGGAAACCCAGTGCTGGAACAAACTATATTTAAGATTTCTAGCCTGGGTATGGAGAAATGGAAAGGCAAAAGCTGTGATTTCTTCTGACAGGAAGCTGAGGAGCTGAGACATCTCGGTCTGAGAGAAAGAAATTCTGTATTTCTTCATGGTAAGGGCAGGCAGCAAAAAAAAAAAAAAAAAAAAAAAAAAAAAAAGAAGAAGAAGAAGAAGCAAAAAGTTTTTAATGGAACCAGAATTGGAAATTATTGAGCAGAGATGGGGCTACAGAGAAAACATAAAGCATTAGGAGAAAGTGTATGTAGCAATTTCTCTGTTTTTTCCCCCCATTTGATTATTACTTGTACATGAATGCTAAGAAAGAAATTTCATCAATGTTTGCACGTGGAGAGCTGGAACTTCCCTGGGCAGGCACTGAAAATATGGCATAAGGGATGCCACTCTTTCCTCTTAAGCATTCCTTGAAGGGCATGAAGTCATGAGAAGTTTGGTTGAGAGACTGGAAGCTACAGGGGCAGTATCTTTCAAGGGTCCACAGAAAGATGAATTCCACCCCAGGTTTCAAGTTTTGCCCTCAGTAGCTTGACATACTCTCAGGTGGCATCAAGTTCCCCTCTGTTTTGAACTTCCCAAAGTTCCCAAAGATTTTTCACTACCATTTAACCAACAAAGAGTTGGTGGAAGCATTAACTAAATTTGTGCTAGCTTATTTATATAAAAACCTTTTCTAAGAAATGCACTTTTTATCTATGGCAAAGTGTGTGTTGGGGGTAGTTGCTGAAACACAGTGAAAAAAATATTGATAAGTGTACTTTAAATCCTTTGAGTTTTAGACACTGCTGCTGAAGGTGAAGAACCAGTGAAGAAATTCCACCAACACTGTCTCCCTAGACAACAAGCCTCCCCTAGTGCTGGATCCTGTTATTTTCCACAAAAGTGAAGCATGTAAGACCCTATGTCTTGGAGTAAATTCTCTAGCAGGAATCTCAGAATTGAGTAGTATTCAGTTTGGTGAATGTCAGTCTTATCAATGCCAATCTTTTGTGTCCTCGTCTTCTTGGTATGATTGTCATCAATGCCCATTGTCACTGAGGGCACAGGGAGGACACAGGACAGCACAAAGCCTTCCTCCATTTTCCTGAACCACATCATAGTCCACGGACATACTTCTCTAAGTATACGGGAATATGCTTCTAAGTGACATCTCAAAAGAGCCACTGCTACCAATCTACAGGTGCCTTTCTCTGGCATGAAACCTTCATGTTGCAGTTTATATCCTTAACAATGAGCACTGTGCATGTTTTTTCCTCCTGGGAGCAATCCACACGTTTACTCTTCCCTTTCATATGTTCCCCTTTTACTAAATCTGTGTGTACATCTTCTATGTGGACACCTTCTCTTGCATCCAGATATGACTGGAAAGACTCACGAATGCCTTGTAGTCTTGGAACATCAAGCCTTCCTCTAACAAAAGTAGAGTTGATATGTTGGCAACTCATTGTTTGCAATAAAAGAATTTATATGAAAACAGTTTTTCTTAAACCATCTGTTATCCACCCAGTTCCCTTCCTCCCATCTATCTCCAGGCCATAGTGTTCTGAGTGCCACATCTACATCCCATAAACTGAAATACCCACAACTCGGCCACTTGTGAAATCCAGCAGCCTGAGAGGCAGACATACCCTGGAGACATACCAGTAAAAATCACCATGCCACAGCACCAATCCGTATTCCTGATGACACAGCCTCGGAGCAGCAGCTTGTCATGGTCCAGAGAGTAGTTGCTTCCCTTATAACTCAGTACTCCTGTGAATTTGTCTAACTTGTTATTGGGAGTCTCACACTTCACTTTCCCTGAAGAAAAATGAAGGCATAAGAGACTTGGTTTTGTCATCATAGGTCTTTCCCAACAGGATAGGAGAAAGCTTACCAAGAGAAAAGAACATCCCTTTTTCAAAATACATGCACATTTTTTTTTTCCTGTTCTCTCTTAACTGCTGCCTATGTCTCACCAGCAACCTTTATAAAGGCAAAGGTTTCTGGGCATCAAAGAAGAGTAATTCTACAAGTGATATAGGTTATCCAGAGAAAGAAAGACCTATCTGGTAACTCATTGCCATCAGTTGAAGTCTGACATCTGAATCTGAATACATTTATTTATTTTAAATATGCATGCATGCATATATACAAGAACTGGGTGGAGGCCAGAGGTAGGGGTAGATGGGTGAGAGGATTCAACAGTTACAGAATGGGGACAGAACAAGCAGATCAACTGAAATGCACTGTTGAGGGGAGCAGCAGGCAAGACAAGAGAGGCCTGCTGCACCATGTGGGTCAGATCCCTGGTTGGGGATTGAACTCATGCTGCAGTAGCTGCAGATAGCTGCATAGTGCTGTGACTTAACCCCTTGCACCACCAGGGAGGCCCCTGAATTTGAAGAAATTTTAAAACTACTTAAAAACTTAAAGTGAGCCTAGTATTTTTTTCAAAATGACTTTTTGTTTTGATTAGTAAAATAAAATAGGCCCTTTGTAAATATGGATGAAGTACATTCTTCCTAGTCTACTTCTATACAGTCACTCAAAAACATGTTTCCCAAAATAACTTCATAGTACACAGCCTAGCATAACCTCTTTTTTCACTTGTAAGTATGCTGAATATTTTTTTCATGTCAATAAAAAGCCTATTATTTTTTATGTTATATAAAATTCACTGTCTGAATATACATGATTTATTTAATCAGACTCCAACTGAAGAAAATTTGGGTGGGCAAACCTGTATCCTAACTCACCATTAAAGGCAGACAGAAGCTTCAGGTTATCTTCTAAGTCACTGGTAACTGAGAGGGCCTGCTTCACTTTCAGGTTGGTTTCACTAGAGTAAAGGATGCACAGTCACCAGACTATAAGGCACAAAGATAATAGCAGCATGGGCCAGTTTCTCCTACTTCATGGGATTTCACAAAAGAGATGTTGTCAAAGGAGCTTAGACTTGAGCCAACAGAGCTTACTGCTTAGGTTTGAGCTTAAGTCCTCTCACTGTTCTCTTCTTGCAAAGACAGTATTGAGGGAACCCAGTGTTAGCCCAGCTACTTTCCTCTGCAACACACTACCACTACTTTAGGTAGCCCGTAAGATCTTGCTAGTCAGATGCACTATGCAGCTGAACAGACATCACAAAATATCCTGGAGGTGGCACTTGCTTCCTTTGAGAAAAAGAATCCTTATACATACCTCCAAAAAGACATACTCCTCACCTCACAAGTATTTATAGGACCCATGAAGGAATCCAATTAACCATTACTAACACAGGAGACACGGAGACAGAGCAAAACTGGAAGCTACATTTCTTTTGTACATAAATGAATTTCCATGTTAAGTCCTCTATGGAACATGGTGTTTGATTAACGTGTAATTTCCTCCATACTCATTTACCTCCACCCTTCCCCTCCCCAAAAATTTGGAGTTCTATTTGAAATGTTAGGACTTTGTTTTCCTCTTTCTTACCACTCAGCAGTTTGATATAGCCAAAGTATGTCCAGTTTAGAGAAGGCAAATATGGTCCTTACTGGCTCAAATTCCATATCCAGTAGGCGCTCAATAACAGCCTCAGATTTGAGGTCATTTAGAGTCTGGCCTCCTATCTTCTCTGGTTTGTAGATTTCTCCTCAGCTCTATATCGCTACCTCCATCTGAGATTAGAGTTCACTGTCTGCCTCAGGCTCTCTTCCAGTGAGAAGCCTCTCTCTAAGCTGGCTCAATCATCTTAAGGGATTACCAGAAGGAAACACTTACCCATCCAGTTCTGCTGTTTCTATATACGCCAGACTATAGGGCTCACTGCTAGAGAGTAATAGCATGTCAGCCTGTGATCAGAAAAGTCAGATAAGATAAGGAAAGCAGGGAGCAGACCTTTGACATTACAGTGACAAGAGCAGTTACCTTAGGAATGGGGCTCATCTTAAGAATTTATAGATATTTGGTTAATTTCTTGGTCTAGGATCCATGCCTGCTACCACAGACACCCCTTCCCCAAAACCAGCTAAACTTTACCTATAAGAGGGGACAAGAACAGATTTCTTATCCCAGGAGTTGTTCCTCCTTAGATGTGAAGTGAGGTAGATGGAGGTCACCAAAAGCAGTGGGAGCAGGACTCAAAAGGTTCCCTATACCCACTCAAGCCATAAAAGAAAAAACCAGAGCCAAAAGAGGCACTCACCGGGACATGCTGGTTATTTTCTACTTTTATTATATCTCCTACTTGGATATTCTTCCATTTGTCCTTTTGCATCCTGTAAGAAACAACCCTTGAATCTCTGTTCTGAGAGTTTCCCCATAGCCCTGTTTTGACAATCAAGAAAGAAAGAATGAAAAGTTGAGCCGAGGTCAAGACTCAGAGGAGGATCAAATGGCCTGTGATGCATCCTGGTTACAGGGGCTCCTTCTCTTGACTTTAGATTAAGACCGTGTAAAATTATATGTAAACATACATTTTTTTAAAGTAAAAATTACATGTGCACATGGCAAAACAGTTAGAATAACAAAGAAGTATGTAATAGGAAAAAGTGAAGTCTCTTTTTTCCTCCAGATTTTAACTTTGTTCCACAAAGGTAGTCACTATTAATATTTTTCCCTAGAAAATATTAGTCCATAGAATCACATACAACATACATGTTTAAGTTACATACTAGATGCATAATTTTCTGTACTTTGCATTTCTCATTTAACCATATATTAATAACATACTTGGAAAAACACTTAGAGAAAGAGTGGCTTTTTTTTTCAATAGCTAAAATGGCTGTACTAAATTTATTCACTGATGTTAAAAATGGATTACTTTTGACTCCTCAAATCCCCACCTCCTGTGAAAGGCAGTCTGGTAAAAGGAGAGATTGTACAATAATACTGACTTTGTTCCCTTTTCTTTTTTGTACTTCAAATCTCTAATTGTCTAGGGCCCATAAATCATCCCTTCCTAATGAAAGACAGCAAGATTTATATATTGCCATAAACCTTTCAGAAACAGCAACTACCCCTTTGTAACCATTCTATTATGTTAAGCATTCAAAGAGTAGGGACAGAGAAGGCATATTTTGAGACCAAGGCCCATTTCACCTTTGAAAGAAGACTTGTTTTCTATAAGCATGAAGTATGCCACTACTTTGACAGAAACACAAAAGTTATGTGTGTTTCCAGAAAACTTTTCTGAAAAGATAGCTTCTCTGAGATCCATATGTTCTAGGAAAAAAAAAAAAGCCATTTTCTGGAATACAGATTGCTTCAACAACTAGACTCACCTCAAATATTAAATTAATCACACACTCACTGACTTACAAAGTCTAACCAGGGTCCTGACGTGACCTCCTACCTAGCACCCCTCTAAGACAAATTCTTCTCCAATAATCTTAAAACACCCAAATGTTCAAGCTATTCAGTTCATGTGGTTAAATCCATTTGGGCAGTAATTCCTTAGCCTCATAATTTTCTGATGAATTCAGTTTTATTTACTTTTCTTTTTATTTCTGTTCCTTCATTTTAAAATTTTCTTTTAAATCATAACTCAATTTTTTTTGGTGATAGCACATAAGAGGCTTTAAAGGATGAGTAAAGAAAATAATAAATAAGGAAATACCATGAGTAGGAATAAGTGGACATAGTAAATAACAGGATTATATGGGTGAAAAAGAACTTCACAAAACAGAATTATATGACTAAAAACTATAGCTATTGTAAGAGCACTATGAAAAAAAGACTGGACCTCAATCTTTCACTCCTTCAGGCCTGTGTGTTTTTATAATCATGATTCTATCAACTTGTCATTGTTCCCTTCATACAATCTCTGTTGAATTTTTCCCCTCCCCTTTACGCCTAGCACAAATATTGCCTCCTCTAGAGGGCCTCCCTTGATTCTTTTAGCCAGCTATCATTGCTTATTTTTATTAACTCCAAGAATAATTTTTGTACTTCTGATAGTCTCCACATTTTGCTTTGCATAGGAATTACGCTTGTCTCCCTCCAAAGGTAAATTGTTCAAAATCTGCAGATCTCTACCAAATCTAAATATGAGCCCAAGAGTTTATATGACTAAGTACCACAGAAATGGGGTCAACATCAGTACTTTCTTTAAAATGTAAACACAAAATGACATGAGCAAAGGTTATAACAGGAAGGTTAACAAGTCATATCAGAATTCAATTATCTTCTATTGACAGATGTCTCCATGATGATTACTGCACTAATAATAATCAATTGTATATTAATACCAGGTCATAATTTGTTAATTTAATATAGGGTATTTCGTTTTTATTTTCACAAGCATCCCATAAGGTAGAAAATATTATCTCCACTACATAGATAAAAAAAATATGAGAACAGAAAAGTCTATGATCACATGGCAAGTTTAGGACATAGCAGACACAGAAACAAATTCTTATGTCCAATCCAAAGTTCTTTTCATTGTCCTGAGTTACTTTTCCATAGTAGCCATCACATTAAGCTGTAGCTTCCCCACAGACAGTGCTTCTCAAAGTGGCTTTCCTAGAAGGACTTACCTGCCATTTGTCAGCACCAGAACAGATTTGTTGTTGACTTGATTGTCATTTTTGTGCCTCTTCTAAAATGACACAAGCAAATACCAAGGAAACTAGTTAAGCTGTATGAAGCAAGTTAATAATGTGAATTTATCTAATATTGTTTTCCTTTTATATAATTTTCCTTTTCCCTCTGAAGCCCTTATGCCATTTAAACCAGGCCAAAAAGCTGAGAAGCTTCTCTTCTCTGCGAAGAGAAGAGGGGGTCAGGGGTCAGAAAAAACCCAGGGAGACAAGGAAGGCAAAAATCTTTGACTTTATATGTCAAAAACCAAAGCCTACAGGAATAAGAAAAAATGACTTATGTCTAGAGCCACAGAGGAGGCCTAGAGCCTCATACACCTCAGCAAGGAGAAGGAAAACTGAGGATTCTCAAGCACACTCCCACCTCCATCCCCCATACAGTCAACATGCAAAAGCTTCCATACTGAGGAAAAGAAGAACAGTTTTCCATTTTAAGGACATAGACGGAGAACGAATAAAAGGTATGTCTTGATATTGGGGCACACATGAATCCCCTCCTTCCAGGGCAGGATTGGGAAAAGGACACAGAGAACCCTGAATTTGTTGACCTGTATATCTTATAGAGACTTGAGTTCTAAATCAGAAGTAACTGGGTTATTGTGAATTGGCAAGTTAAGTTTTTGGTGCTTGTTTAAAAGGTTTGGGCGATGGGAGGGGTGCTACTGAGTTTACTTATGAAGAAATAAAGTTGCATTTTTGTAAAACTAAGTTGTGACTAAATCTAACTCACACATTTACTAATTCTGGGTTTAAACAGGTACAAAGTTAAAGAGTTGGAGAAACATCCTGCTCTCAAATTTGGCTTAAATATCTATCCAGGCAAAATCTGAACTCTCTTAGGAAAAACTTCAAGCAGGTCAACAACACTGGCTCTCAAACCCCACTAGCAGACAGGGTGTTGAGCCATTATCCTCATTTTTTCAAGTCAGATGTTAAAGGAGCAAAGAGGAAGCACTTACTGGGAGTCAGTTTCTCTCTCCAAGGCCAGAAAAGGAGTGAGCCTCTGCTTATGTCAAAGGCTTTCTAAAACCAGAGGGCTCCTAGCTGTGTATACCTAATAGAACTGAATGTTGGAAAGGGAAACAGGGAGAGTTGGGAGAGTAGAAAGGGAATGTAGGATGGGGAAAACAAAGATAAGACCAGGAGAAAGAGGGAGGAAGGGAACAGGAACATACAAATGGGAAAAGGGGGGATGGAGGCAAAAAGGTAAGAGCAGAGTGGGGAATTCTAAAGGGAGTGGAGGAAGAGGTAGGATGATAGAAGGAGGAAGCCCAAAAAGTGATGTCAGGAGGAAGGCAGGGAAGGCCTTACATTTCCCTTTTCAGGCCACGCATGGGTCACCCATATTGCCCTAACTGAATTGCATAAATATTTATCTGGGATAAGTAAGGAAACAAGGAAAGGAGGCAGTGCTCTCATTCCTAGCTCTCAGTATAGTTAGGGAAGTCTGTCTTGTCCCACGGTCTGACTAGGCATGGTGAGGGACTGAAAGCCCGGGAGGTCACTTCACCAGGTCATCGTTGGCATCCTTCACTGCTGTTATGGACAGCACCACTAACAGGGGGATCACAGTTGTGTACCATGCCAAGGAGGAGATCTGGGGAATCAACTGGGAAAGGAAAAGGGAGAGAAATGTGGGTCAAGAGTTTACAGGATAATAAATTTCCTCCCAACCCCAATCCCACCACCATTGTTATCTCTAAGGGTTTATAAGAAATACAACCATCCTAGTTACTTTCATCTGTCTTTGTACAGCTCCCCAAATATAAATAAGCATCTCCCCAAAAAGGACAAAACAAGTGGAAGCTCTGAGTTGCCACCAATTTGTCCAGAATTCCACTACCTTTGTCTTGAAGGAAAGGGTCATTTCTCCTCTGATAATGAAGCTGCTGGTTAGGGGCTGTAAGTGGATTCAGGGAAACCACACACTCTTCTTTGGTACAAGGGGAACCCCCTTCTCCCAACTTGGGTCTATCCTACCCTGCTTTCTTCCCTTGTGCTGGCACTGTTGTTCTAAACCATTCTCCTTCAGCACTCCTGCAAGTTAACTTTCTGTCAGGGGAGCTGGGAAGAAGAGAAGGAGGAGGTTGGGGTGAAATCTATGGCTTCCTAGGGTCAAGCTGAACTCTGACTGTGTAGCCATGAAAAGGGAACTTTTCTTGGCTACTTCTGACCACAGCTACTCTAAAACACTGTTGAGACTCTATCATCGGACTCTATTATCTAAGAGACACTTGTCTATTATTTGAAATAAAAGATATCTCTCAGTTTGGAGAGTATAACTGATTATACAACCTAACCCCAGAGTGGTTAATAAAGTGTTCTGTGGAAGAGGCCCCAAAAGGCAATTACCTGTAGGATCAACAAGATGAGGAAATATGCATTTGCAAGTCTCTGGAACTGTTCAAACAGATTCACCGGCAAGAAGTTCAAGACATTATATTTTGAGGTTTTGATGGAATTGTTCTGAAAGTGAAAATAAGCACAATTGGAAGAACAAAGGACAGTTTCTCTAGTAACTACTTGCCCCCAATTTCCAGTCTTGATAAAAAGGACCAAGACCATTCTAAGAGATAGGAAAAAGTAACAGTAAAGGATTTCTCCCCTCAGGTGCAGTGATCATAGTCTTCCCATCACCAAAGGACCCATAGTCTTCCACTCTATCCCTGCTCTCTCCTCACTCCTCTCCCAAGTGTCTCAGGCCTAATGTCTACTTTCAAGGGTTAGTTGTACAATTAGTCTTTGTGTGAATACCCTTTGTTTGGATTCTTCATTTCATATAATAGTTAATTAATATATTTCAGGTAGCATTTGTTTCACAAAGACAAAATTCATTTTGATTCTGTTGCAAGATTGAAGGATTAATACTTCTCAGCCATCTTACAGATAGATTATTTTCTTCTACTCTTAAATGTCAAAGAGAGGGAATATCTCAAGAATGTAGAAATGTCTGCTTAACTATGCATTTCCCCAGGGTTTAGCTTTTTTGGCAATAGAGACAAAATTTAAACATGATAGAAGTTGTAGGTTTTGGGTTTGGTTATTTATTGATTTATTTGGTCACTGATACCTGACTGATGGCTAAATGGGGCAATAGAGGAGAACAGAAGGGAATCAGTAGTTAGAGATTAGAAAGATGAAAAGGAATAAAAATAGAGGAAACATTGAAAAATGAGAAGAATGAGTAACTGGTAGGGCCAGGGAAAATGAAATGGTTGTTAATTACATAAGAATCAGATATGTTTATTCACTGACTATTTAGTACATACTTACTGAATACTTTTTCAATGTCAAACATCATGGTGGGAAATGTGGATCCAGAGATGTATGAAATCTGTATGCTTTTATTTAAGAGGTAATAGTTTCTTGGAGAAAGAGAACTTGTATTTTTCACACTCCCACAAACATCCTGTAAGGTGAACATTATGATGCCCTTATCCCTCATAAGTGAGGTAACTAGAGATCTGTGATGTGAAATGACACGCCTAATGATACAAAGCTAGTGGAATTATGTTCAAACACAGGTCTGTCTGATGCCAAGACTTAGCTTTATTACACCATAGTACTTCTTACCAGGTCAAGATGTAGTGGGAAAACCTGCACCCACACCTATACCCTTAACATCGTTATTACCTAAAACCTCTTTAACTCAGAAATCTTGAACTACTATCCTACAGACTGCAAACTATAAATATATATGTCTCTATATCTGTCTGCCTCTGTCTCAATACATATGTACATCTACCTATCTCTTTCTATATATATACATGCATGAAATTATACATGCATAAAAGCATCTGTTATAATTTGTGAAAACCTAAATGTCAACTCATAAGGAGCTGGTTACATAAACTAAGCTAAATCTGCATTGGAAACACTACACAGCTGAAGAAAGAAATGAAGGGAAAAGCTATTATGAAATTGTAATTATGAGAACAACACCAGGTCATATGTTGAGGCACAGAATAGTGTAAGAGAGTATGAAAGTAAGAATACATATTTATATTTGCTCTGTTTGCACAAAGAACACTAATGAATATACGAGAAACTTCCACACAGGGAGCAGACGTGGGCAAGGGTGTTGAAGCATGAACTTTCCAATATATATTTTTTTGTGAGTTACTTTATCAAAACAATAAATAAATAAGTGAAACATAAATAATCCAATAGAAAATGAGCAAAGATAATTAATAGGTAGTTTCTAGAAAAAAGAAATATAAAGGGATAATTAAAAGAGTATTGATTGAATTCAAAATTAAGATAGATGAAATGTCATATTTCATCTAGGAGCCTGGCAAAGATGAGCATGGCTCAATCTTTTTTTTGAGGGAAATCCAGTAATATGTATCAAAATTTAAATGTGTTATCCTTTTGATCCAGCTAATTCACTTCTAGGAAACATTCATATGCTATAGTCACACAAATGTGCTAAAATATATGTATAATGCTGTTCATTCAGGGTCACTTATTAGAGCAAAACTCTGAGGACTTTTTTTGGAAGGGGGTTTGAATGCCAACATCTATTATGTTCAGCAATAGGAGTTGGTTAAATAAATTAAAGTATACTAGTACAGTGGAAAACTATGTCCTAGGTAGCTGTCTAAGTGAAAAAGAGAAAAACTTTGAAACTATGCTGTGTAAGAAAACACTATAGTATTTCTAGAAGATACAAATAAAAACCCAAAATCTGAGCTATATTCTCTCCTGAACCTAGGTCACTGTATTAACTTTGGTTTTGAGCCTAAACTGCCCCAGCTCCCAAGGCATAGACTTGGAAGATATGGCCCCCTCTGGTGGCACAATGGGTTAGAGTGCAGCACTGTGAAGCTGGCTGCAGCCGCTTTAGTGCCAGTTCATAAAGGGCCCAGGGGGGAGAGGGAGGTTGGGGTGACCCACATGGCGCAGCAGACCACTCCTGTCTTGCCTGCTGCTCCCCTCAGAAGTGTACTTCATCAATCTGCCTGTTCTGCTTCCTGCCCTGTCTCTGGTGAATCCCCTCACTACCTCTGTTCCTCTGGCCTGTACCCCAGATTCTGTAGCATAAATGAATAAAAATCTTTAAAAAAAACAAAACTTGAAAGATCTATGTTATAAGATCTACATCGACTACTAGAGGAGAATACCAGGCCCCTTATGAAATAGCCAGAGACCTAATACTCACTGGATAATTGAACAGAGTGTTGAATTCTCTGTTGTTGGCTTGCAGATATCTCTCACATTCTGAAAAAGAGGAAAGAATCGATGAGAAGGCTGCCCCTGTGTAGATGAGCCTGGAAGCTGGCTGTGAGTGAAGAGCCTCACATTTTCTCACCAAGGACAGCTGGTTAGCAGTAGAACTTAGTGTCTGCACTAAAAGAATAAAGATGTGATGAAATGAAGAGTAAGCAATGCAAACTAAAGAAATATAATAAAAATGGAAATCCTTAAATTCAAATTTTCTTGAGGCAACAGGACAAGTAACGTCTGAGGCGTTCTCTACAATTAATGTTCCTAATGATCCTGTATGTCTCCACAGACAACAGCTCAGCCGGCACCATTCTTACCAAACATACAAATGCAGTCCTCCTTCAAATTTTAAGGTATTTGTGGCCCTTTCCAAGGCAGCCTTTCCCAAACATGTCTAACTAAATTTGAATTAATAGATCATCATGGATCATCTACTGTGTGGAATCCCCAGCCCTCCTCCTTATTGGGGCTATTGTCTTGGCACCCACAGTTTCTGCTGGTCAAGCTAAATGTACAGTCAGGCAGGGAACCTTCTCCCTAGGGCAAAAGTCCTGGTATGAGGAACATACTGGGAAGCCAGTGTCTGCTGAAAACAGCAGGCAGACTTATGGCCAGATTAGCAAGATCAGCTAAAATACCACATTGGCAAAGATTAGCAGAAAGTTAGTAAAGAACAGGGATTAGAGACAGTATGTTTTGCTGAGTGGGAACAATGGCACCCTCTAAGCAACAGTCCTTGGTCACCCCACTCTGGCTTGCACCAGATGGTGATACAACATCCACACATGTACATTCCTCCACGTACTTGCCACCTTCCCTGAGCCTGGTTCTAAATAAACATGGGGCTGCATCTTTTTGGTGTAAGCCCCCTCTAGGCCTCTCTCCACTTAGAGTTTGAACATTTTTTTCTTTGTCCTATGCCCACTCCCAACTGTTGCCCCACGAGGTGACACTACTGCCCAGAAGCCAGAGTGCTAGATGCTGATGAGGGTTAGAAAGATGAGAGTGCTTGACTTGATAGGAGTTTTAGATTTGTAGAAGTGAGTCTGATCATTATAACACATGATAAAAATCATCACATCCAAACAGGCACTACAAAGTGTTATATGAAATCATATAATACTAAGAAGAGTATATATTATCAATAGAGATTTCTGTCTTGAATGAAACTTTCCTATACTGTAGCCTCTTCAGTTCTTCATTGGTTGAACAAAGCCATTTACTGGGATCCTGGCAGATGTCAGTGTCAGGCCCTATGCTAAGAGCCAGGGTTACATAATCCCTGACCATTTTAGGCTTTTATTCCTAGGAGAGAAGACAAAATTTCCCTCTAATGCAAGGGTGGTGATACAGGTAAGAACAGGCTGTTAGGGATATACAGAAGAGGAAAGAAGTCAGGGAAAGATGAATATGGAAATGTTTCTGGAGTATTATCTGAATGTCATGGTATGTTTCTCAGTTCTCTTGAGTCTACATAGTATATTTCAAGCAACCCAAAATTTACCCAAAGAGTGATACTGCAGATAAGTCTGCTATCCTTAACTCTTCTAGAAATTCTTAGACTACATTTCCATAGAATTTTTCTCCTCAGGGAGTTCAGCCACTCCTGGCTCTGAATTATATTGAATGTCTATTTTGAAGCACTCTGGCTCATGAAGGTCTTTTTAGCTCATGGCTTTTAAGATTATAAGTAAAATTTTCTTCTAAGGTCCTCAAAAATTCTTCTTCTCTGCTACCGACTCCTTCCCTTGAACTCACTCACCTTACCCCTCAAAAGAAGTCTTTGTCTCCAGCCCCTAGAGACCCAACCCAGTAACTGCTGCATTTTATTTATTTTTTAAATGTAATTCAAATAACAAAAAATTTATTCCCTTAAAGAGGACAATTCAGTATTTTCAGTAGATTCACAAGGTTATACCACCATTACCACTTATTCAAGCATATTTTCACCACTCCCAAAAGACACTCCATATCCACTCCCATTGTCCCCCTTTCTTTAGTTCCTGGCAAACACTAATTTACTCTCTGTCTCTATGGATTTGCCTATTTTGGACAGTCATATAAAAAGGAATTTAAAAAAAAGGAATAATGTGTGGTTTATTGTGACTAACTTCTACTTCGTATAATGTTTTCAAGATTCATGTATATTATAGTATGAATACTGACTGAATACCATTCTACTGCATTTATCTATCTATCCATTGATGAACACTGGGTTGTTTCCATCTTTTGAAAATTATGAGTCAGGCTGTTAGGAACATTTGTGTACAAGATTTTGTGTGGACATATTTTTATTTCTTTTGCAGACTTACCCAAGAGAACTCCTGGGTCATATGGTTAGTCTATGCTTAATTTTTTGAAGAACTGCCAAATAGATTTTCATAGCAGCTACACTGTTTTACATTCCTACCCACAATATCTGAGGTTTCAACTTATCCACATCCTCACCAACTGTGTTACTGCTTGTGTTTTTTACTTCCATCATCCTACTAGATGTGAAGTACTACCTCATTGTAGTAATGTTTTTCCTTACTGATGTTGGATGTCTCTTAATTTGCTTATTGAACATTTATATATCTTGTTTGGAGAGATGTCTATTCTGAATCTTAGCCATTTTAAACACAATTCATTGTCTTTTTAATCGCCAGCACATAAGCGTTATTTCTTTATTCTGGATAGACGTTCACTTATCAAGTACATAATTTGCAAGTATATTCCCCCACTCTGGTCTTAAATATCACTTGCATAACACACTAAATTCTTACACATTGAGTAGGACTTTGGGTTTTCTATTATATTCTGTTGTTCTGTCCCTCTTTTAAATCACACAACTTTTAATATAGGATAGCAACTCTTCCTTTTTTAAAGTCTTCTTAGAATGTTTACTTCTAGATAAACTTCAGAATTTTGATTAAAGACAAAGGGAAAATTTTACTCACTAGAACTCTGAGAATGAAGTCAAGATGGATCATTAAAGGACACAGAACTCTCTCCTAGGGGAAAAACAACTGAACTGGCAAAATACATGGCATTTCTCAGGGATTTAAGTTCAGAGACTTTTAAAATTATTATTTTTGAGGCAACACCATTTAGTTTCCTTTTTTTCACCTTAACAACTGTATATATTTTATCACGTTCTCTCTGATAACCATCATTTTGTTGTCAGAGCCTAAAAGTTTCTTTTTATTTTTGTTTTGTTTGCTTGCTTCCCTCCTTTACATTCCACAGATGAGTGCAATCATATGGTATTTGCCCTCCTCCTGATTTTTGCAATGACATAGTCCTCTTAATTTCCATCCATGTTGTCACAAATGGTAAGATTTCATTATTTATGACTGAGTAATACTCCATTGTGCATATGTGTTATGTATCCTTTGTCTAATCATTTTCTTTGGGCATTTGTTGTGTCACCTTATGTTAGTGATTTTTGAATAATGATGCAGTGAACACATAGGTGTGTATGTCTTTTCAAGTTAGCATTTTCATATTCTTTGAAATGATCAGATGATTTTTATCTTTCATTTTGCTTATGTGATGAATCATATTGATAGATTTGCATACATTGAACCTTCTTTGCACTCCCTGAATAAATACCACTGGGTCATAGTGGTATTTTAATACATTAATAACATATTAATAATAATAGTCTTTTTAATATATTGTTGAATTTAGTTTCATAATATTTCCTTGAAGATTTCTGCATCTATGTAAAGATCTTGACCTGTAATTTTCTTTTTTTGTGCTGTCCCTATCTGGTTTTAGTATTAGTGTTAAGCTGGCCTCATAAAAGGAGTTAGTAAAGATTCTTCCTTTTTGACATTACGGAAGAGTTTGAGAAGAATAGATATTAGGTTTTCTTTAAATGCTTGGTAGAATAAGCTCATAAACTTTTGAAAGATACCTAGGAGAGAGCCAATAATAAGACAAGTGTCTTTATGGTTCTTCACATTATTTCTTCTGTTCTTTCTCTAAATATCAACAACATTGCGAAATATGATGAAACGAGAACATGAGTAAATTTCTTACAGAAAATACCAATAAAATTATGAGGAACCAAGGTCAGGGGTTTATATAAATTGTGGGAGAAGTGAACTGGGATGTTTAACTACTTTTACCCAAGCATTTCAGAGTATAGATTTTGATCATATAGATTACTTTGGATAGAGTTGACATTTATGCACCATGGGTCATCTACTAGTGAAGGAGGAAGTTAAGAAATGGGTATAAGCAGTCAGTGAGGAACAGGGGGTCTCATGTCCACTTATCAGCCTGACTGAGAAACAATCACAGACTAGGAGGGTCCTCTCTCCCCTCTTTTAATTAAAAATGGGTGCTCAAAACATCAATAAAATAGCACAAGAGCAATAGACCAAAGCTGATTTTGAAATAGTAGGCTGGGTAACGTGGGTCTTGGTAGTCTAGGAGATTCCCATGAACCCAGCCAATCAGCAAGAGACACAATGCTGACACCCCAACAGCCAAACCCTGACTCCTTTCCCACTGTATTTACTTAAGAACCTACTTCTTGCGAGTTCTGTGCCTATAAACTCAGAACCCCTCTACATCTGGATAGATTTCCTGTCCTTCCCCTTATCTATCAAGCAATCTCTTGCTTTTCTGCAACTTTGGTCTCAACATTGAATTCTTTCCTCACTGAAGACAAGAACCAAAAAGGAGTCTGCTCGGAGTTCTCAGACTCCAGGCCTACTCTCTAAAACCCTGATTCACCTGTTGCATACTATATTCTTGTGAGCAAGATAGACAGGCAGTTAGTGGTATAACCTGGGAAGTCACTCCTATATGCATTATATCATGCCTACATAATCACCTTGACAACAATACATAAATAAATGTCCTGGGTTTATCACCCAGCACTACAGCTTGGTTTATTTTACTGGATGGCGTGTGTCTGTTTTGTTTCATTCTCATTCTCATGATTTTTTAAAAATTTATTTAAGTATACAAGAACTGGGATGTAGGCTAGATGTGGGGGGAAGGGAGGAGTCACCAGAGACAGAGTGGGGAGCAGAACAGGTGGATTAACTGAAAAACACTGCAGCAGGCGAGACAGGAGAAGTCTGCTGTGTGCCACATGGGTCAGCTCCCTGGCTGGTTATTGAACTAATGTCAGTGGCTGGTGGTAGCTTAATACACTGAGCCTTTAACTGTGCCACTAGGGAGGCCTTCATTCTCATGAATTACTTGGATTATTTGAGTAAAGATTGAAGAAGTGACTGGGAGTGATACGAAGTTTTGTTGTATCTTGTTTTGACTGGTTAGTGGCTTATTTATACCCCTGTGATACAAGAATTTCTGCTAATCATTATAGTACAGATTATCCAAACAGTGGAACATGCATGGATCAGACAGTTCAGTTGCATAGAGGATTTAGGGTACCCTCGTGATCTAACAGGGGCCCAGATAACTGTCTAATCAGGCAGAAGACTGGGACAGTATTTAACTAGGTATTTTCACTGGTGTGGAAATTACCCAATCCCTGAACAGGTTAATTTTCCACTATGGTCATACTGAGTTTGCTCAGTTAGTAAGTAAACTCAATCTTCCCATGCTAGTGCATTCCCTATAACCATACTTAACAGTCTAGCACAACCTCTCTTCCTATTTTTTTTTTAAAGATTTATTTATTTGTGCATACAGAACTGAGGTACAGGCCAGAGGCTCAGGGGCAGTGAGAGGCTTCACCAGAGACAGAGTGGGGAGCAGAACAGGCAGATGGACGAAGTACACTGCTGAGGGGAGCAGCGGGCGGGTCAGGAGAGGTCTGCCACGCCATGTGGCCACCTCCAGGAAGGCGGGAATAGAACTCATGTGGAAGTGGCTTTAGCTTTTCAGTACTGTGCTTTAACCTGCTGCGCCACCAGGGAGGGCCCTCTCTTCCTATTTTTAATCAAAATTATTTTTATGTTTTTTGACAAAATTCTAATATTTTCTTATTTAAGTTTATTTGTTTTATTAAATTTAATGTTATAGGACCCTTCCTGGTGGTGCAGTGGGTTGAAGCGCAGCACTGCAAAGCTAGCTGTGGCCGCTTCAGTGAGAGTTCGATCCCAGGCCTCGGAGGTGGCCACATGGTGTGCAGACCTCTCCTGTCCCTCCTGCTGCTCCCCTACTGCTGTAGTATACTTCATCCATCTCCCTACTCTGTTTCTGGTGAATTCTCTCATGGCCCCTGCACCTCTAGCCTGTACCCCAGTTCTGTATGCATAAATAAAATCTTAAAAAATTTAATCCTACATATCACCGATCAATTTTTAATTTAAAAGAGCCCTATCTGATTTTCCCAACTCATGTGGGTACAGCAGGCTATTCTCTCAAGCCCACTAGTGCAAAGGGACACATGGAATCCAGGCTCTACACCTGCTGAATACACATCTACCTCTTTGAGTTTGAGTTTAAACGTAAAGTAAAACAAGTAGATCATAAAGTTTAGAGCCTGAGTTTGCAGAGTCAGACTGTGACTTCAATGTCTTATCTAGTTCACACAAGAACTGCCAAGAAGAAAAAGAAGAAAGAAAAGTAGGATTTTTACTGATGAAAAAATCAGAAAGGAAGGGAGAGGAAGCAAAGGGAAGGGTATAAGCAGGGACTTCTAAGAAGGAAAAAGCAGGAATGATGCAAGAAGTGGTTAAAACTTCAGTTTGCTTAACCATTTAGGAGAAGAAACTGAAAGTCTGAGAAAGAAAGAAAACCCACTTAAGGAAAGAAAGTAGGCTGTCATGTTTGAAGTAATAAAGGCAAGAATAAAGTTTTTAGACTGGGTAATAAAAAGATTAATTCAAGATCCCCTAAGGCTTGCAAATACTGCTGTGAAGAGACTGGGACGACTAAGTGTTTTTCTCATTACTTGTTAACTAAGAGTTTATTCCTGTTTTGCTGAAACTGGAGTGACAAAATGTGAGTTATGGGTGAGAAGTTAGAACTACTTAAGATTGAAATTAGCATGGACAAGGAGGTCCTGGCTATAGAATTCAAGGGATGAACACCTCCCTCCAGCCTCTTTTCTCTGTGAGTCCACAGCCTCTTCTACCTATTTTCACAAGGGCCTGTGCTCAGTACTGGCCACTGAAATGAAAGGGCCAGACACAACAAGACATCTTGGTATTATAAAATCTGCCGTGAACTTAGAATTTAAACATGGCAGGTTCCCATAGTGGTTAAGAAAACAGAGCAATCAAGTCAGGTTGCAAGGGTTCAAATATCAATCCTCAATTTACCAGCTGTGGAGTCTTGAGGAATGTCTCTGAGACTCATTTTGTCTGTAAAATAGAAATGATAATACTATTTATTCATAAGGTTGTTGTGAGGATGAGTAAACAAAACCTTTTATTCCTAGTACATAAAAAATGTTCAGGAAATGTTTCAGCTATTCTAGACTGGGCCCTGGACTAAATTTTTACTTTTCATTTTGGGGCGCTAGTTTCCCCATGTATAAAACATGTTAGTAAAATCTACTTTACATGCTAGGATAGGAGATGAGAGGCTAGCAAAGTTATATTGAAGATAGTCAGCCAGAAGCAAAATGCTATCCACACAAAACTAGATAAAAGAAGAATTCAACTAGGAGAAATTCAAAACTTAGTTCCCTTTGTTTAGGGTTGCCAAATCTAGCAAATGAAAATACAGAGACAAAATACATCCTAAATAATACATGGAACATATTTACGTGAACTAAAAATTATTTATAATTTGAGGAAATTTAAAAAAAAAATTATTTATTTATGCATATAGAACTGAGGTACAGGCCAGAGTTGTGGAGGCAGTGAGAGGATTCACCAGAAATAGAGTGGGGAGCAGAACAGGCAGACTCACAAAGTACACTGCTGAGGGTAGCAGCAGGAGAGGTCTGCTGCGCCACGTGGGTCATCACCCTGGCTGGGGATTGAACTCGGGCTAGAGTGGCTGTGGCTAGCTTCAAAGTGCTGTGCTTTAATTGGTTCGCCACCAGGGAGGTCCAATTTCAGGAAATTTAAATTTAACAGGAATCATGCATTTTATCTGGATATCCTGCTTTTGTTACTGGAAGTCAGAAAAACTTCTTATAAATTAATTCAGTTGTTGCTTTATATTCTCTAAAGAAATAGAATTCTACAAATTAATCCTAAGAACTTTAGATATCATTTTTTCCCCAGATAACTTTATTGAGACAAAGTTCATATAACATACAACTCACCTGTTTAAAAGAAAATATGTAACTTTTGGTTGCACACAGAATTGCGTAACAAAGGTGTTTATTTGTTGTGTTTATTTAAATGTTGTATAGGACCCTATCATCAAGGTTCTGATTAATTTTCTGCTATATATCCACAGTATCTATACTATTCCCTTTCTAATATCTCTTTTTCTTCCTTTTAGTTTCTTCGTTTTCTTTTTGTGATTAAAGATTTTTCTTTTTATTGATTTTTCAAATTATCCAAAGTAATCCAATAAATATATTTTAATTGTAAAGATTCAAAATTAAAAGTATATAGAGAAAATGTGTTTCTTTTTCTATTCCATTTCTCAAAGAAACTGATATTAACCGACTGGCATATCCGCTTGGGTCTCTTCCTTTTCACAGTATTTACTTACAAGTGTTTACATATATACAAACACCTGTGTGTGTGTATTTTTTTTTAACAAATGAGATTCTACTATTCATATTGCTAAACATGTTGCTCATTTCATGCTATGCAGTGGAGATCTTTTCATATCAATACATACAAGTTTTGAATTTACTGCCTAGTATTATTTAACCACCTATCAATATTTGTTAGTATATTTTATTATATTATAGTGGCAATGATGTCAATCATATTTGTAGATGTGCACCAGTGGTAAGAGAAAGGAGAGAAAGGACAAATATAATAGATTGGACAAGCTTGTAAATTCTTCAAGACAGAGATTCTTGTAGCTAGATAGATAATTTCGTACAGCCATACAACATATATGACAGTGAAGCAGCAGTTCAAAACAGGATATAAATAAGATTAAAAATGAATCATAGAGGCCCTCCCTGGTGGCGCAGC